AGCGCCCCAGCACTGTGGGGGATGCAACATGGAGGGATGAAGGAGGTATTCCCCCTTGGAGGGTGTATAGGTAAAAGAAGGGAGATCACAGCAAGCAATAGGGCAGAATTCAGTATCTTGCAGGGAGAAAGTCTAAACAGATAAGAGACCTGGAAACTGAATTGCAAGGTGGCTTTAGAGAAGTTCTCTGCACTTCCTAGTACATTTTTACCACACTGTGATTTGGAGCCATTCTGAGGAAGGTTCTGTCGTTTGAGCTTACTGCTCTGAAGATCGGAGGTCCCTGCATTTTTGTGACTCTGGGCCCCGGGGCCCCATGGTAGTTTCACTGCACAGGCTTAGTGGATGGATGCTTTGTGAGTCAGTTTGGCTCCTGCAGAAGACTCTGACAGAAGCCCCCAGTCCACACAGGAGCCTTGTTTGTGGGGGCAGCAGGATTGTGGGCAATGGGGTTGTGTAGAACCCATTGTCCCATCTCACCCAACCCAGATCCTCTCAGCTGCATTGCTTCTCTCTACCTGTGTGGATATCTGGGGACACCTTGCAGATCCAGTATTTGCTGAGCCCTCAGAGTGCAAAGCCTAAAAAGCTACTGGAGAATCGGTACCTGCCAAGTGCATTCTATGCTACACCTTCTACGTGCAAAGCAGCTGAGGGGTCTCAACTGTCTTCAGTCACAAATCATTCCACTAGTCACCTGGAGGGCACCATAACATGAAAACCTGAGAGTTGAATAATCCCTGTTTCCTCTTTCTCCACCAAATACACAGCCTAATGAGTCCTGGAGAGAAGCTTTGATTGGCATTGATTTGAATACTTCAGCAGGGAAGAAATTTTTTGTTTTTTATTTATACTTTTTTCTTTTTAATTTTTTCTTTCTTTTCCCTCTTTTTACTTTTGTCTTTTAATTTTAATTTAAATTTTTTTTTATTTTTACTTTTTTCATCCCCCACCCCCCACCCCAGTACTGGGAATCGAACCAGGATCTCATGCATACTTAGGCAAGTATTCTACCACTGAGCTCTGTCTTTTTACCTCTTTAAAACATTCTATTTTGAGCCTGGGTCTCCCTAAATTGCCTAGGCTGACCTTGAACTTGTAATCTTCCTGCCTCAGCCTCCTCAGTAGCTGGGATTATAGGCATTTACCATGATACCTGGTTTTATCTTTTTATTTTATTCTATACTTTTTCCCTTTTGTTCTTCTGTTGTTATTGGTTTTATGGTTTTATTAATCTTTTTTGTTGTGGGACCAGGGATGGAGTGTAGGACTTTGTGCAGGTTGAATGCTGCTGACCTGCATTCCTGCTCAATTGAGAGGAACTGCACATAGCTCCTCACTAACTAATCCCACTCATACTTTGGCAAGAGTTCACTTTAAAGAATAGAGACACAGAATGCCCAGCCAGTAGCCTCTCCCCAAATGAGCATAGGGAAGGGGGTCTGATGCCCTGCTCCTGGACAGTCACCCCCACGGCAACAGCAGAAAGAACACAATTGTTGTGGCTCATACTAGTGCACTCAGCGTTGGTCACTTCCATACCCTATCAGATTGCACACAACTGACAAATGGATATGAGTGCACAAAGAAAGAACTATGATCCTGGCCTCAGCCTATCCACGTGAGACATCAGGAACCACACCATTGTCTAAATGGAATAAAACCTTCAGGCCTTTCATCATGTTTGGCACAGACAGTATCCGAATTGTTTTAAAATAACATACCTAGTATCACCAGTGCCCTTGGCAGTCCCCACCACCTGATGGGTACTTCCACTCCAAAACAGGAGTAGCTAGAGAGGTTATATCCCACATATTATGCTATATCACACCTGCCTGAGTTACCAGAAGATCCCATTTGTGTGAGCTGTACAGAAAAAGTGGGTTCCTCAGGCTCCAATGGGGTATACATTGTGTCAGAACTCACTAATCGTGACGCCTGCCTCGAAAGTGCAAGGTCCTGAGTTCAATCCCCAGTACCAAAAAAAAAAAAGAACTCACTAATCAGCCAAAAAAGTCATAGATTATACTACAAACTCCAGGTGAAATTAGACTCAACTATATACAACAAACTGGTACCTCAAGATGCATGGTGAAGGCCACTTACTGAGAAGACTGTCACAAAATAGTGGAATAGATATCTGTCTCAACAGATGGTTAAATCTCTATACAGATACACAAGAAATATGAAAACAAGGCAATAAGACACTGACTAAAGTTCCTAATTTTATAGTAATAGATTCCAAAGGTATTGAAATGAATGAATTGCCAGGTAAAGAATTCAAAAGAATGATTTTGTAAAAAACTGGATTCCAAGAGAATGCAGATAAACAGTTAAGTGCATTGAGGCAGACAATGGAGGATATGAATGAGAAAATCAATAAAGTGATAGAGACTTTAAAAAAGAACCAAACAGAAATCTTGAAAATGAAAAACGTGGTAAATCAGATTTTAAAAACTCAGTTGAAAGCCTCATCAACACACTAGATCAAGTGGAAGAAAGAATACCAGAGCTTGAAGACAAGATTGATAAAGTATTATGTTTGATAAAAATAAAACATACAAAAGAATGAACAGGACAAGACGTTTGGAGCACCATTAAAAAACCAAATGTCCACATAATTGGCATACTTAAGGGAGACAAGCTACAGGCAGAAGGCATAGAAACATGAGAGTAGGTCTTTGGGTACTTAGGTTAGGCAGTGGTTTCTTGGGTATGAGACCACAAGCTGAAGTGAAAAAGAAAAATAGATAAGTTGAGATTTTACAAAATTAAAAAAATCTGTGTAATAAAGGACACTGTCTAGAGAAATGACAGCTTACAAAATGGAAGAAAGTCTGTAAATCATATATCTGATAAAGTTCTTACATGTAGAATATACAAAGAAGTCTTACAAGTCAACCAACTGTATGACAATCCAATGAAAAAAGAGGTAAAAGACTTGAATAGACGTTTCTCTAAAGAAGATATACAAATATCTAATAAGCATGTGAAAAGGTGTTCAAAATCACTGATCATTAGAGAAATGTAAGTTAAAACTACAATGGGATATAACAATTGATCTACTAAGATGGAAAAAAGATAGACAATAACATATGTTGTGAAGGATTTGTACTAATTGAGATTGCTGCTCAGAAATGGTACAGCCACTTTGGAAGACAATTTAGCCATTCTTTTTTTTTTTTTTTTGTACTGGAGATCAAACTCAGGACCTCATGGTTGCCAGGCAGGCACTGTGCCACTGAGCTAAATCCCTGGTCCTTGGCCATTCTTTAAAAAGATTAATATGATGTTACCATATTACTCAGCAATTTAATTCCTAGGTATATATGTCAAAGAAATATATATCCATAAACTTTTGTATGTGACTGTTCACAGCAGCATTATTTGCATTAGCAAAAACAAAAAAAACAAAACTCAAATGGCTTATCATGTGTTGAGTGGATAAGTAAAATGTGGTATGTCAATACAATAAAATACTCAGCAATGCAAAGGACTAAATTACTGATATATCTTTTTTGTGGATCAGCCTTGAAAACATGCTAAATGAGAAGCTATTTGATATGCTCTCTCTTTTTTTTTTGAGGTACCGGGGATTGAACTCAGGACCTTGTGCTTGCAAGGCAGGCACGATGCCACTGAACTAAATCCCCAGCCCCTGAGAAGCTATTTGAGGTATAAAATATATCCAGAGTACACAAATTTATGAAGATAGATTAGCAGTAACTTTCAATCGGGGAATAAATAAGGGTTTTCTGGCTGTAATTGCTTATCAGTATGGAGATTCTTTTAGGCAGAATGAAATTGTTCTAAAATTATATGATAATGATATTCTACAAAAGACCAAATTGAATACATTGAATGGGTGAACTTCATGACATGGAATAAAGCTGTTACTAAAAAAAAAATCAACTGAGAATAACCTTTTCTTTTCATTGAAGGACAGTTTTTTTAACTCCATGTTTTTTCTGAAGCCAGAAGCAGTTATTTATTTGTTCACCAAATTAGCATTTTCAGGTATCTTTTGTTACTGGATTAAAAAATTATGTTTACTTTTTGTTAATATTTTATTTCTACATTTTTCAGTTTCCTATGATTGCTTCTGTACTCTTCATTATATACTGCACCAAAGTATCCAATATATTACACTTGTTTATTGATTTTATACTTCTACTGGGATTTTTTGTATTTTCTACCTACATTATTATGTAGGTTTTTTTTGGTACTGGGGATCGAACTCTGGTCCTTGCGCTTGCGCAGCAGGTGGCGAAACCACTGAGCTAAATCCCCGGCCCTACCTACGTTATTATGGTCTTATCTAGATGTCCTTTTGTCCCCAGCTTGTATTTAACACTGTTAGCTGTGTTTTCTGATAATGAGATAATATCTTTCAGTATGGTGAAAGTGGATATATATATATATGTATGTATGTATGTTAGGGTCTCCTTGGTGGGAGACTGGAACCTGAAGACAGTATCCGACAAAACCTATTAAAAGAAGGGCATGGGGGACCAGAGTTCCACGAGGAGTTAAGGCACGGTTTATTGGTAGTATTCTTCTTTTATACATTTTTCTGTAGGATACATCAATCATTAACAGTTTAAAATGTTAGTCAGCTAACCACGGGTTATACTCATGTGTACCTAAAACATCTAAAGAACCATCTGTGTACATTTAATCTTAGTACATCTTATCTAAATCATCTTGGTTACTTAAAGCTTCTAAAGAATTAGCTACTCTTACCTGTTTTTATACCAAGCAAATATTTGAGAGTCTCAAGGGTCTGAACACTGTGGGAATAACAAACAGCCTTCTGAAGTTATCTTTAACTTCTCTATCTGGGCTTGCCACAGACATCAGGACAATCTGTCTTCAAAAGGCCGTCCGGAGGGCTGAGAACTTCTCACATCCTCCATATATATATACACACACATATATATGTATATATGTTTATATTTAAACTTTTTGGAGGCTGATGGAATGTTTGAATTGTCTTGTAGATTTTATTTTCCTCACTGGTATTGCAGTGGAAGCAACAGAACCTATCGGTATGGAATATCTCGAGGCACTGAAGCTCCTCTTCTTGATGATTTTGTCATGTCTTACCTTTTTGCTCAGGTATGACTTTTATTTTACTGGCATGTATATTAAATGATAAATGCCTTTCTGTGTAGTGTATCTCTTAATCAGGATTAACTTCATATGGGTAAATTGCAGTTTTGTCTTATGCAGCAGGTATAGACAGGTAAAAAATAGTATTTAATACTAAATTTTAATTCCATGATTAATGAATAATAAAATACATTTCATGAAGATTTATAGAACTAATCATTTTGCATTTTCTTTCCTTTTATTTTAGGACTTTTGACCATTTTAAGGATTTCATAAAATGTAACTGAGTTTTTAACACAATTCATGTGAATATAAATAGTTAAAATACTGAATAGTAAAATTTCTGTGAAGTGTTTTTTCTTTTTTTCCCCCAGTACTGGGGATCGAACTCAGGATCTGTCACTTGCGCTTTGCCAGGCAGGCATGGTGCTGCTGAGCTAAATCTCTGGCCCTGGTTTTTCTTTTTTCTTTTTAAATTTCTGGATAATTTCAGACTTCAATAGTGGATAGTGAAATGTGAAAAAAGTAACATAAATATGAGATAAGATAGTTTGTGTAGCTCTTCATGAGAGGGTAAGGAGATATTGATACTTAGAGCTTTGTTTTACCTACTTAGTCATCAATATTGATATATTAATTTTTGTATTGTATTTGATCATTTTTTAATACTTTCTTTTCTATTACTTTGATTTAAATAGTAATTAAAATATATTATTAAATAATTTTTGTTTTCATGTACTGCTGGAGTAGTATGAATAAAAATTGAAGAAAGAAAAGGCAATTAGTACTCTTAGGTAAAGATATTCTTAAAGTATTAGATAAAAACGTTCTAATTCAGATTTGCTACCATCATAGGGAATAACCCTACACATTTTCATGGCTCACATTTCTAATAAGCCTAGTAAGTGTGAGCAGTAAATTAAAAAATACTTCTCTGTTGGGATGTGAGACCAGTCAACTTTTTATTGTTGTAAAAATATATATTAAAATTGATCATTTTAGACATTTTAAGTGTATAATTCCTTTACATTAAATACATTATTCTACGATCATCACCATTATCCATCTCTAAAACATTTTTTATTTTTTCAAACTGAAACTTCCTATGCATTAAATAGTAACTCTGTTTCCTTTATCTCCTGGTCCTTGGTAAAATTACTTTCCTTCCTTTCTTTCTTGCTTGCTTTCTTTCTTCTTGAGACAGGGTCTCACTGTGTGGTTCAGGCTGGCCTTGGACTCTCTATGTATCCCAGGGTACCCTCAACTCACATGGTGATCCTCCTGTCTCAGCCTCCTGAGTACTGGGATTACAGGCATGTACAACTGCGCCCAGCTCATTCTACTTTCTGTCTTTATGAATTTGCTGATTTTATTTTCATACAAATGAAATTATACAATATTTGTCTTTTTTGTGACCAGCTTGTTTGACTTAGCATATCTTCAAGGTTCATCCATGTTATAGCATGTGTTAGAATTTCTTTCCTTTTTACAACTGAATACTATTCCATTGTATGTGTATACTACATCTTTTGTATTAATTCATCTGTTGATGAACATATTGGGTTGCTTCTACCTTTTTAACTATTTGTAAATAATGCTTCTATTAACATGGGTACCCAAATACTTCTTTGAGTCTTTGCTTTCAGTTCTTTTGGAAATAAATCCAGAAGTGTAACTGTGAGATTATATATAGTAATTCTGTTTGTATTTGTTGAGGAGCTACCATATTGTTTTTCATAATGCTTATACTATTTTGTATTTCTGTAAACTGTGTACCACTGTTTCAGTTTCTCTACACTCTTGACAACTTACTTTGTAAAATAATAGCTGTCCTGATAGATATGAAATGATATTTCATTGTTTTTATTTGCACTTCCCTAGTGTTTAGTAATATTAGCCATATTTTCATATGTTTGTTGGCCATTTGTATATCCTTTTTGGAGAAATACCTAACACCCACAGGTTAAAAGAGGAAATGGTTTATTTGCCTCACCATTCCAGAGGGTTTAGTTCATGGTAAACTGGTTCCAAGGCAGAAACATGGCACAAAAGCATGGTGGAGCAAAGCTGCCTAGTTCATAGTGGCTGGGCAGCAGAGTAGGTGAAAAGTGTCAGTCGGGAAGGGGCCAGGGAACAGATATAGACCCCAAGACCATGCCTCCATGACCCAACCAGACACACCTAGAAATGTGCTTTACTAACCACCTAGACAGCTCCCAAGTCAATCAAGTTGACAGCTAACCTTAATCATCACATCCCACCTAAACACATCTCCTTAAACCATACTTAATCTCCAAATAAACACAATAGCAAATTCTTGATTCTGCCTAACATAATACAGTTATCCCATTTACAACCAGAAACACAACAATCCCTTACCCAAAGTCTCAACAGATCTGACGTTGTCCAAAAGTCTAAGAACAAGTTTCTGAGATTCAGGCAGTCAGTTCTCAAGCTCTGTAAAAGTAAAAAACAAATCACACAATCCCAAGGTAGAACAGCATAGGATAAATATTCCCATCCCAAAAGGGAGAAATAGGGAGCTTGCAAAGAATAGGACCAAAGCAAGACTGAAAACCAGCAAGACAATGATTAAGTCCTGTGACTCCTTATATGGCATCAAGGGAACATGCTGGTGAGATGTCAGTTCCAGGGGGACTGGACAGCTCCACCCCTATGGACTTGCTGGTTGCAGTTCACATGACCTCTCTTGGGCTGGCTGTACTCATGGCTTGCAGCTTTCCTCAGCAGACATTCCATGTTCCTGGTAAATCCAACTTCCTGGGAGGTCTCCAATATAACTTTAGCTTCATTCTCATAGCATCCTGTATCTCAGGTGCTGCTTGCTTGACCTCCCAGGGCTTCCTTTGAAATGTAGGAGGGTGCCTTCCTGACCACACAACTCTTGCATCCAGTAAAACTGGCATCATGTGAATGATACCAAGGTCTGTTGTCAGTGGAAACAGCACCTAGGCCACATTGGACCATGGCTACACTGGCATCTGACTTTCTGGATGATGAAGCGTGGTAAAATGAATCCCAGAGGACCTATTCCCTTTAGCAGGGGTTCCAGGAACTATCTTTTTAAATGAAAAGGTGTTACTTTTACACTCATTTGCCACAGTAGATGCAGTCTTGATGATTCCTGAGATGCTCTGAAGGCATCTTTTTTCTTGTTCCCATACAAAGTACTTCATTTCTTTTTAATGCTATTATTCTTTTCAGCAACAACACCTCCTTGGGCCAAGAACTTTATGCATCATTCTTTCAGGGTGAAGATTTAATTTGTTCTGCCCTTCTTTTTGCCCCTGTTCTCACTGTAAATCTGGCTAAAAGAACCAGCATTACCCATACCACAATCTGAATGTTGGGCTGCCTTGAACTTTCCTCCACCAGATCAATTATTTCACATTAATCTGCCTTAATCTCAGACTCCCCCAGTCTCAGGACACAGGCAATATGTAGACAGTTTTTTTTCTTTGCCAGAGTGTAACACATATGGCCTCTAGTTTAACTTCCAGAAGAGCATACTTGTTCTGAACTGACACATCCTGAGGTTAGCCTTGACTGTGTGCTTCTTATCAGCATTCTGATCTGAGCTCTGGCCAGAATCACCCATTATTAGGCTCTAGTTTCAGCATTTTAGGGCTTCTCTATCCTGCCTCTAAAATCTTTCCAAACTCTTCTCACAAACCAGTTCCAAAGGCTTCTGTGCCACATGGTCAGGTATAGTCACAGCAATGATTCCATTTCCCTTGGGACCAATTTTTTTATATTAGCTGTCCCATTGCTGGGATCAAATCCCTTACACTCACAACTTAAAGAAAGAAATGGTTAATTTGCCTTATAGGTTCAGAGGATTTAGTCCATCGTCAGCTGACTATAAGGCAGGAACATCTCGGCAGAAATTCATGGTAGAAAAGAGTTCCTTAGTTCATGGCAGCTGGGAAGTATAGCAGAAGAATACCCGAGAGGAAGGGGCGAGGTACCAGATGGTCATGGTCATACCTCCATGACCCACCTAGTCATACCCAGAAGTGTACTAACCCCATAGGCACTTCTCAAGCTAATGAAATTGACAATTAAGCTTAACCATCACAAATTTTTATTTAAGTCTTTTGTTCATTTTTTCATTACATTTTTTTGTTGTTGTTGTTTTGTTCTTTGGTTGTGTCATAGGAGTTCTTTATATATTCTGCATATTACCCCTCATAAGTTATATGATTTGTAAATATATTTTCCTGTTTTATAGGTTATCTTTTCACTTTGTTGCTAGTGTCCTTTGATCAATAAAAGTTTTAAATTTGCTGAATATGGTGGTGCATTCTTGCAATCCCAGCTATTTAGGAGGCTGAGTTAGGAGGATTGCAAATTTCAGGCCAGCATGGGCAACTTGGAAAGACCCTGTCTCAAGAGGAAGTGGTGGGTGGGAATATAGCTTGGAGGATGTAGCATGTGAGAGGCCCTGGGCTCCATCTCCAGTATTGCAAGAAAAGTTTAAAATTTTGATGTATTCTAATTTATTTATTTTTTCTTTTTGTTACTTGTGCTTTTGCCAAAAGCCGAAGCCATTGTCACCCCCCGCCATGTTTTCTTCTAAGAATTTTATAGTTTAGTTCTTAAAAAGGCCTTTGATCTATTTTGAGTTAATTTTTACATATGGTGTGTTAAGGGTCTAACTTTATTTTTTTTCTTAAATTCTTTTATTGGTACATTTTAGGTATGCAACACAATTACATTTCTCATTGGGAACTTGTACCTTTACATGATGCATCTTGGTTCTTATTTTT